TTAAGCACATCTGGTGATTCCATTCCTGTTTTTAATGCAATATTCCAAAGTGTGCATAACTGAATGGAAATTAAGCTAAGGATTGCAATTTTTCAACAAGAAATTCATCAAAGAAGCACTTGAGTGTGAGCAAATGATCATATTTCATTTTACAGGTGAACTTTTGATTTTATGGCTCATAAAAGCCAATCTCATGACCAGCTCTCTGAAGATAAATTAGATTTAGAGATCATTGGAATAGAATCAGCCCAGAAACATATTTGACATTCAAAATCAAATCAAACCGCCTCGGATAACCCTTTTAAATGGAAAGACGTGACAGCGTTTGCTCTTTCAGTGGTGGAGAAACTGTTCACAGATTGTATGAGCCACCAGTGTTTCACATTGGTCTCAGGGCATCTGACGGCCGGTGTGAAGTTTGACAGAGACAGACAGGAGCTCTATGTATGGGCAAAGCATCGGCCAGTCTTTCACTATCTCTGGACCTGATAGTGATAAACACCCTGCTGTCCATGACACTTGGCCACAGACCCGCTGAATGGCTCTGGTTAAAATAGCCTGGAATTACTGCAGATAAGCGGCATTGGGATTATGCAGATAGGAATTATAGCTTTATGTTTTTTCATTAGGCAAAACATTGTCAATGTGAATATTGTTTATTATATTTGGAAAAAAAAATTTGCGTAGATTTAAGACTATTTATTTATGTCAATATGTAAAAAAAATGTCTTAAAATATGTCAAATTAAGTCCTTAGCAATGCATATTACTAAACAAATATTAAGGTTTTGCATTTTTACAGTAAGAAATTTACAAAATGTTTTCATGGAACGTGATCTTTATATTTTAATTTGATGTTTTAATAATTTTTAACAGTATTTTGGGCTATTCCTGCTATGAAACTTAAGACTTAAAAATAGTTTTAATAAATGTTTATATTAAATTAATTTATATATTATAATATATATTTGATTTTATTCAATTTTAATTAATAATACATAAAAAACAATTTAATAAATTATTTAATTAATTTATTTATTTAATTACTATTATTTACAGAAGACACTAGCCCCCTTTCACATTTACAGACCTTTCCGGGAAATACCAGCAATTTTCCCAAAAAGGGACCATGTGTAAACAGTCCTTTTTTGAAAATACCAGTAAATTTGTTTTAGCAATTTTCCGGAAAGAGAAGTTGTAACATTACTGGTAATTAGCTGGAATGCTGCTCTTTGTGGACAAAGAAGGAAGATTGCTGGAAAGAGCGCGTTCATGTCTAGAACATGCTGACGTAAGATGTTTCCTTTGTGCCAATCAGATTACTCAGAGTTTTTCCAGGCACATTGAGCTGCTAGATGTTAGTCAGATAACATTTCTATGTTTCTATGGATGGATGGATGGATGGATGGATGGATGGATGGATGGATGGATGAATGGATGGATGGATGGATGGATTGAAAAATGGGTTGGGTTGAATGGATGTTTAAGTTGGAAGGATGGATGGATGGATTGAAAAATGGGTTGGGTTGAATGGATGTTTAAGTTGGAAGGATGGATGGATGGATGGATGGATGGATGGATGGATGGATGGATGGATGAATAAATTGATGGATGGATGGATGGATGGATGGATGGATGGATGGATGGATAGATGGATGGATGGATGGATGGATGGATGGATTGAAAAATGGGTTGGGTTGGGTTGAATGGATGTTTAAGTATGGATGGATGGATGGATGGATGGATGGATGGATGGATGGATGGATGGATGAATGGATGGATGGATGGTTGGGTTGGGTTGGTTGGTTGGTTGGTTGGTTGGTTGGTTGGTTGGTTGGTTGGTTGGTTGGTTGGTTGGTTGGTTGGTTGGATGGATGGATGGTTGGTTGGAGGGATGGATGGATGGATGGATAAATAGGTTGGGTTGGGTTGGGTTGAATGGATGGATGGATGGATGGATGGATGGATGGATGGATGGATGGATGGTTAAGTTGGACGAATGAATGGATGGATGGATGGATGGATGGATGGATGGATGGATGGATGGATGGATGGATGGATGGATGGATGAATGGATGGTTGGTTGAATGGATGGATGGATGGATGGATGGATGGATGGATGGATGGATGGATTGATGGGTGGATGGATAGACGGACGGACGGACAGACAGACAGACAGACATACATAGATAGATAGATAGATAGATAGATAGATAGATAGATAGATAGATAGATAGATAGATAGATAGATAGATAGATAGATAGATAGATAGATAGATAGATAGATAGATAGATAGATAGATAGATAGATAGATAGATAGATAGATAGATAAAGATTTTGCATTCAACAACATGATCCGCCTCTTTCTGTCTGCAGTAATTGGCTCTTGTTCTTCATTATCAGTGCTTTCTTTCATTTGATGATTCACTTTGTTTGTTCTCTTGTTATTGAAGGTCTGTAAACAGCACAGTAATGGCATCCAAGGTCAACATGCATACATGTAAACGGTTTGAAAAAATGTCAGTGGCCTCCTCTCCATTTGTTTCACACTCATATGACATACTGTTGTTCTCTTCTGACTTTGACTTTTATAAGAGGGTCAGAAATCTGCATGTGTGATTTTTTTCAGATACAATGAAGATTAAGCCTCATTTTCAGTTTTTCACTGACTAAAATATGTAACCCTGGACTTCAAGACTGGTTTTAATTTTCAAAAAAAAAAAAAAAAGTAGAAATTTTACATTTTTTGTGCCAGAAATCATTATAATATTATGTGAAAATCATGTTTCATTAATGTATTTTGTAAATGTACTACTGTAAATATATTGACACTTATTACCTTTAACTATATTTACATTTACGTTTATTACAAATACTACTTGATAAGCACTTTATTTAGTTGATTTAAAGGTAATTTTCTCATTATTATGGTTTTTTCATCCATCGATTCCAGGTTTTCAAGATGTATCCCAGCCAAATAATGTTCTATCTTAACAAACTTTTGAAACGCTTATTTATATAGCTTTTATGTGATTAATTTAAAAAAAAGAAGAAGAAACTGACCTTTATGACTGGTTTTGTGGTCAGGGGACACATAATAAAAAAATGTTTCTCAAAAAAAAAAAATGGGGGTGGGGTGTAGGGTGGTGGGGCTTAATAAAAAAACACCGTCATACCACATGCAACAACTAATTTGTCGTGGTATTATCAGATTTCATTTAGAATTCTGAATATTAGCTAACTCAATTGTAGGTGTGATATTGACTAACCCAACTGCAGGATTTATTCATTCATTAATTTTCCTATGGCTTAGGCCCTTATTTATCAGAGGTGGCCACAGTGGAATGAACTGCCAACTATTATATGCTTTAAGCAGCAGATGCCCTTCCAGCCACAATCCAGTACTGGGAAACACCCATACACTCACATTCACACACACTCATACACTACAGCCAATTCAGTTTATTCAATTCACCTCAACATGTCTTTGGACTGTGGGGGAAACCGTAGCACCTTGAAGAAACGTGGTTAAAATAACCGAGCATTTTTTCAAGTGTTACTGTTTCACACATTTTTTCATTTAATTTAAATTTCATTAAATTTCATTTTTTCATTTCATTTCATTAAAGCAGACACTTGCATGCCAGTTTATCTATAATTCAAAATTGAGTCAAATATAGACAAATCTAAAATTGAGTAAATTTTTGATTACATTTAAATAAAACCCGATAGTTGGGTTTGTCGATATCTGACCCATCGCTGGATGGATGGATGGGTGGATTGTTGGTTGATGGGTAGTTGGGTTGGGTGAGTTGAATGGATGGATGGATGGATGGATGGATGGATGGATGGATGGATGGATGGATTGTTGGATGGATAGTTGGGTTGGTTGGGTTAAATGGATGGATGGATGGATGGATGGATGGATGGATGGATGGATGGATGGATGGATGGATGGATGGATGGTTGGGTTAGATGGATGGATGGATGGATGGATGGATGGATGGATGGATGGATGGATGGATGGATGGATGGATGGATGGTTGGGTTAGATGGATGGATGGATGGATGGATGGTTAGGTTGGATGGATGAATGGATGGATGGTTGGGTTGGATGGATGGATGGTTGGGTTAGATGGATGGATGGTTGGTTGGATAGATGGATGGATGGATGGATGGATGGATGGATGGATGGATGGATGGATGGATGGATGGATGGATGGATGGATGGATGAAGGGATAGATGAAGGGTTAGGGGGCTAGGTTGGTTGGGTTGGATGAATGGATGGTAGTTATATAGGTTTATAGATAGATAGATAGATAGATAGATAGATAGATAGATAGATAGATAGATAGATAGATAGATAGATAGATAGATAGATAGATAGATAGATAGATAGATAGATAGATAGATAGATAGATAGATAGATCCCATCGCCTATCTGACCCATCACTGGATATATAAATGTATGATGGATGGATGGATGGATGGATGGATGGATGGATGGATGGATGGATGGATGGATGGATGTGTGGGTTAGATGGATGGATGGATGGATGGATGGATGGGTTGAGTTAGATGGATGGATGGATGAATAGTTAGGTTGGTTTGATGGATGGATGGATGAATGGATGGATGGATGGATGGATGGATGGATGGATGGATGGATGGATGGATGGATAGGAGGTTAGGTTGGTTGGGTTGGATGAATGGATGATAGATAGATAGATAGATAGATAGATAGATAGATAGATAGATAGATAGATAGATAGATAGATAGATAGATAGATAGATAGATAGATAGATAGATAGATAGATAGATAGATAGATAGATAGATAGATAGATAGATAGATAGATAGATATTTTCAGAAACTGGCCTCATTATGTGTGTGTTGTGCACCTCTGCGGACGTGTGTGTTCGCGCTGACATCAGTAGTTTAATGAAATAAAGGGCTAGCACATTCACTCGCACTCTGACGTCATCGAGGGCGGGTCCGCACAAACAGAGGATGCGCTCGCGCTTTGAGCATCTCTGAGAACGAGCGAGGCGCCTTTACTGAATCACTGAAATAAAAGAGAACTTACTCAAATCAGAGGAAACCGTTGCTTGGCGAGGAACATGGCATCAAAATGTCCCAAATGTGAAAAAACAGTTTATTTTGGTAAGTCATTCATTTTTCCCCTTTCTTTTCGCAGTACCAATAACACAATGCACGCGCCGGATGATTTCATCAACGACCGTCTGCAGCCCAAATGTCATGTAGTGTCTGAATTTACTTTAATTGTGGTTTACATGTAAAAGGCTGTGCTTTATGAATAGCGGCTGCAGACCACACAGGCTTGAGTGTAATTAGCCGGCTAATCTAGCCTGAACGCGGTATTCTTAGTACTAAATTAATTATGCTTTATGATTAATATTCGTGCATGTGACGCTACATTACAGACGCTAATGAAACTATTTTATCTGCACAGATTAGAGATTGCATGATTATTGAGCCGGTGCGCTGCTACACACTTCATGGAAATAACAAAAATGAATACGAGAGACAGTTTGATCAAGTCTGAATTAATAATGCATGGCGCATGAAATGCAGAAGAATGAATGAAAGTGTGTGTGACTGTGGGATACATTATGACACCATTAAAGCAAGAATATTTTTAATATCCAAATTTCTTTACATTTTAGATAAACATCAATGCATTTCAGCTTAACAACAGTGGGCTGTACAGCTTTTTATGTTTTTCATGTTTATAACTAGTAGCCTAGTAAGTGTTTTATTTATTGATTGATCCTTCAAACCACTACAAACTGTAATGCACCAACTACTGATGAATATAGATGAAATTAATTAGATTTGACCTATTTTATGGATCTGGTAAATGCTTTCGACACCCTCATCGAGTCAATATACTTATATATTTAATGTTTATTGGTCTTTGCTCTTCTTTCATTCTCAAAAAAGCCTCCTGTGATGTTTTGATGCATTGAGATTCTCTCTCTGTCTCTGTCTCTCTCTCCCCCTGGTTAAATTTAATAGATGGAAAAGATTTTAAACCGCAGGTGTCATTTGACATTAATCCCCACAGTGTAATTAATCATTATATTAATTTATTATTTATCATTAACATCTGTTAGCTAAAATACAATCCTGTGAAATCCTACAGGGCTCAATTATCTTTTTTTTATAGAGAAAAATAAGTCAATAATCTCAAAGTAAAAGAACTGGGTTAAGTTAATCATTATGACTCTAATCATGCTTTAAAGCAGAAAATCAACATGCATGATTAGCAAATTAGCATTTGTTCGTGTTAATATCATATGCTGATTTAACTTGACTCCCACTGAGCACTAAAGTAATTAAAACGTGAGAATCTAGGTTGACTTTGGCTATTACTTGCTCTCATGAGGCTTTAAACGAACTATTTTTTCCCTTTCTTTTTCCTGTTGAAAATAGACTTTTTTTAAAAGTCCCCTAGAGTTTTACCTTTTTCGTTTCCATTCAGATGATCTCTGAGTTTGGCAGGAGCACTTAGCTTAGCTTAGCATAGATCAAATTGGATTAGACTATTAACATCTCGTTTAAAATGACCAAAGAGCTTCGATTATTTTCCTGTTTAAAACCTGAAAGTATAGGAACTATAAGAACTATTCTCTCACTCCTGTGTAAAAATCTAGGAAATTGGTTGCCCTGCCATGAATGCAGCGGGCTTAATAATATTTCACAGCTCTGTTTTCTAGTTACTAGCAGGGGATTATTTTCAGGTGCTTTAAATATGAAAATTATTAAAACTCGGTTATTTATTCATTTTCTTTTCGGCGTAGTCCCTTTATTAATCAGGGGTCGCCGCAGAGGAATGAACGCCAACCTATCCATCATATGTTTTATGCAGGATGTGCTTCTAGCTGCAACCCAACACCAGGAAACACCCATACACTCTTACATTCACACACATAATCTACGGCCAATTTAGCTAACCCAATTCACCTATACCAGGGAAACCGGAGCACCTGGGGGAAACCCGTGCAAACACGGGGAGAACATGCAAACTCCACTCAGAGATGCCAAATGACCCAGCTGGGGCTTAAACCAGTGACCTTCTTGCTGTGAGGTGATTGTGCTACCGTGAAGCCCTAACAAAACTCTAATTTGAATTTTTGCGTGAGATGCTAATGGTCTAATCCGATTCAATGATTTATGCTAAGCTAAGCTAAGCTAAAAGTGCATCTGCCAGATCCGTAGATCAAAACTGATTATGCTCATCTGTCTAACTTTAGAGGTATTATATTTATTTAACAGCTTTGTTTCACCCCAAGAAAGCATTCATTTCCCTTAATATTGAAATAAAAATCTAAATTACTCACATATTTTCTTATATTTGATATTTTGCGATAATGTTGGTTGGCTAACCATTACCCACTGACTTCTATCGTATGTATTTTTTCCACTGTGGTAGTCAGTGGGTACAAACATTCTTCAAAATGTCTTCTTTTGTGTTCAACAGAGGAAAGAAACCCAGGTTTGAAGGTAAGTTACAGTGAGTATGGTGGGGTGCAACTATCTCTTTGGGCCCTATCATACACCCGGCGCAATGTGGCGCAAGGTGCGGCGCAATAGTCTTATGGTAGTTTCAGCTTGGCGCAAGAGTCGTTTTGAGGCGTTGCGCTACGCTGTTTAAATAGCAAATGCATTTGCGCTCATATGTGCACCCATAGGCGTTCTGGTCTAAAAAGGAAGGCGTTCTGAGGCGCACTGCTGGCGCGTTGCTATTTTGAGAAACTATAATAGATTTTTTATTAGACCAAAACAAACCCGGTCTAAACTCTGGCGTAGACTTGCGCCTCGCTTACGCACTGCTTAATATGCACAAGAGAGCAATAGGCAAATATCTTTGCATATAAAAAAATATAAATATTAAGGATATATATATAGGATATAATAAGAATAGATATAGGATATAAATATAAAGGATTAAAATATTACAAAACATATTATTTTCTAGCCTACATAAATATGAAAAATCACTGCTTTTATGTCTTCTTCATCTCTGGAGGCTTTTCAGTTCATTCATAACAATTTGCTTTTGTATAATGTTATTATTATTAGCAGTATTATTTATTATATCCATATTTATATTTGTTTTATTAAAAACAAGCTTAGATTTTGCCCACCTGTCAGGTTTTAGACCATATGGGGCACAGCATGTGTTTTAGGATATAACTCAGGTTTTTGAGCACACTTCGTTATTGTTGTTTATTTATTAGTTTGCTGGAAATTAGAACTGAATTTAGAAATAGTTTTAAAAAGAATATTTGCGCTTAGCAAACAAAATTATTTATTTATAGACTAATTGATGTCTGTGCGTAAAGGTTTCCCTATCCAAGAGCAAATGTGAAAGTGATCCATTATCTCTCATTCTCACGCAGTAGATGCTCTGTTTAACAGTTTTCTGTAAAAAAAAAAAAAACGTTAACTGTTAACTGTTTGCTAGTGAAATGCTAATTTTTTCCACTTAGACTTACTTTGCGCCCTGTAAATAGCGAATACGCTCTTGGTGCGACACAGCTGGCTCTTAAAGGGAATGGGAGATGAGACTCTAATTCGTTTATTCTCAAAACACACCTATAACTCTTTAAGAAAATAAACTCAACCCTTTAAGTCCATGCGCCACGGCGCAAAACAGATTTTCCCGTCCTTAAATTAGCAAAAATGAGTTCTGACATGCCCTGAAAGCGTTTGCGCCCTGCGTTTTTGCTCTCTGCGCATGGACCGTCAAAAAGAGCCCTTTAAGTTTAGTTAGACTATACAACCTTCAAACATTTGCATTAAAATGTGACTCATACATAGTTTTTATTACATCATCACACCTTTAAGTGTACAACAAAGGCACACAGCTGCTTTTAAATGGCTTTTACTTGAGAAACATGTTTTAAGTGCTATCTATTAGCAGATATTTAGCATCTGTTTGCTAACTGCTGAAGCTAACCAAGTGTCAGATTATCCGACCAACGCTGCATTTGCTGCATAGGTTAGTTGGTTGTTACAGCTTTATACAATACTATATACTCCACATTACAATTTACACTGGTGGCAAAATCTGACGGGTAGCATATTGCGTCAAATTGTGCTACCTACTTTTAGAATGTGAGGTAGGACAATCTGACAAGGTCGGACAAATCAACAGAACAGCAGTAAATTTGATCCTTGAAGCATTTTACAGGACTTTCTCTTTCCAGTCTGTGGTTAAAAACATTTCTGTTCTTTATGTCCTTCATTTATGTTGTTAGTATATGTGAAACTCTTTTTCGTTTTTGTTTCTGTAGTGTTTGCGACCTCTGTAACTTTCTGTCAGACTGTAGTTTGCCATGCATATCCTCACTATGGAAACAGCTCATTTGATACTCAGGTTAAAAGGACTTCATGAAGCTATTAAGCAGAACAGCAAGTCTCGAGCTGAGGACTAATTACTGTCTGCTCAGCTCCACATGTATTTGTCTGCAATACAAAAACATTCGGTTTTTAATCTTGCTAATTTCTGGCTGTGTGGGCATGTCTGTCTGTGAGGAGAAAGACAAAGATGGAAACAAAGTAGAAATAGATGGAGCATAATAACTAAACCACAAAAATGCAATGGATATAAACCCAAAGCAGTTTCATATTTATTCATTTGTCACTTGATTTTGTTCAGTGACATAAAGTTGAAGTCAGAGTTATTAGCCCCCTGAATTATTAGCCCACCTGTTTATTTTTTCCCCTATTTCTATTTAACGGAGAAAAGATTTATTCAACACATTTCTGAGCATAATAGTTTTAATAACTCATTTCTATAGACTGATTTATTTTATCTTTGCCCTGATTAAAGGAAATAATATTTTAATTGATTTTTTTCAAGACACCATGCAGCTTAAAGTGACATTTAAAGGCTTAACTGGGTTAATTAGGTTAACTAGGCAGGTTAGGGTAATTTGGCAAGTTATTGTATAATAATGATTGTAGACTAGCAAAAAAATAGCTTAAAGAGGCTAATAATTTTAACCTTAAAATGGTTTATAAAAAATTAAAAACTGCTTTTATTTTAGCCAAAATAAAACAAATAAGACTTTCTCCAGAAGAAAAAAAACATTATCAGACATACCGTGAAAATTTCCTTAAACATAATTTGG